GAGGGGGAGGGGGAGGGAGGGGGGTGTCCCGTCTCCTCCCCCCTCCCTCCTCTCTCCCAACTGGGCGACAGTGTCGCAATCCCCCTGCCAGCTGCAGGTTTGGCCTCGACCTTAAAGGGCCAACAGGGGGTTTGGCCTCTGCAAAGAACGGTGTGCCCTGCAGGGCTGCTGCCAGATCCCTCTTCAGCCCCGCCGGATGGGGGACATTGGAGGGAAGGGAGGGGAGGGGTGCCCGCAAGGGGGCGGGGCGGGGCATCCTCACAGCCATGAAGCCCTTGGGGCGGCAGCAACAGCAACGGGGAAACGTTTCCCGGCATCCCTGAGCCCCGGGGTGGTGGCCTTGGATTCCTAGGGGCAAATTCCTCCTCTGATGTGTGATGGAATCGGACATCACACGCGAAAGGTCATTCTAGCTCCACCAGCTCTCGTGAGGGGGTCTTTAAAAAGTTATAGCTGCCGCTGCTGTCGCCGGCAGCTGCAATGCCCGCGGGGGTGGGGGCGGTGTGAACATTTCCCAGCATCCCTGAGCCCTGGGGTGGTGGCCTTGGACTCCTAGGGGCAAATTCCACCTCTCGCATGTGATTGGGGGGGGGGAGCTCGGCAACCCCGGCGAGGAGCTTCTGGACACGCCAAGTGCCCCGATCCCCCAGCAGGGCAGGGAGTGCTAGGACCCAGCGAGTCCTCCCCTGAGGCGGAGTGGAGGCAGGCAGGCGAGGGAGGGGGCGGCGTGCAGGACCTGAGCAGCGGCAGAAGCAGGAGGAGCTGCAGGCAGGCAGCGGCGGGACTGGCGGGCAAGCCCAGCACCCTCCGTGGCCTTCTCCGGAGAGCCAGGAAAGGGTTGCCAACGCGGCTCGCGCCGCTCGACCAGCCTGCTGCTGTGCCTTTAAATTAAGAGCAGCACGACCCGCCACCTCAGGAGCCGGAGAGGAAAAAAGAGCTCCTCCTCCACCGTCCAGAAGGGGAACCGGCTGCAGCCAGGCGTGCAGTCGAGGGTGCCGAAGTCTAAGTTTCAGCAGTGCCGGGAGCATGCCGGTCTCCTGCGGGCTGCGCCTCTGCCATGCTGGCCAGGCGTGGACCTGGCAGCCGCCCCTGCCTCTCCTCCCGTGCCCTAAGGGTCGGCCCGCACTCTAGGTGAATGCCTAGTTTGCCTAGCGGGCGAGCCGGCCCTGACTGCGAGTAAATATAATTGGGCGAGTGAGGTTTAACTTCTGAGTGAATGGTCATAGGATCGTGCAGGGCTCTTTTTCTGGGGAAATGCGTTCTGGAACCTCTTCAGATTCTTTTGTTTAAAGTTTAAAAGTTCATGAGTTTTCAGTATGCAGATTGAAAACTTCGTTTTCCTCTTGAGAGGTCCGGCACCTCTTTTTCCAAAAAAGAAAGCAAAAAAGCCTTGCTGTCAGTCATCTCAAAGTTATCAGAGCAGTAGAGGATCTAGCCATGGAAAGGGGCAATCAGGCATCTCTGACGAGGTGTGCTACATTTTGGCAGGCCTTTCAAATGTATTTTTCCACAGCAGCCGGACACACAGATGTTTGGCAGGTGAAAGCTTTCCTCACATGGCCATGCCAGGAAAAGCGCTGTCTGCTTTATTTCTGCAGGAGCAAAGTAGAAAGAGGATGGTCACCGTGTGCTGCAAGAACTTAACTGGGACTTCAGACACTGTTGTTACTGCAAATGGAGCCCATGGGTGAGGCTGTTCCAGGAGGTGCCCTAAATGCTGCCTTTGTTCTCCAACTGCTCTCCTTGAATGAAGCCTATCAACAGTGCTTAAGAGCCTGCTTCAGTTCTAAGAGCTTTGTAAACAATTCACTGTGAAGTGAGCAGAGAGGCA